ACAAAGTAGAGGAAGATTGGCAATGGTTAGCTCAGGGTGAATCTTCCTCAACAAAAAAAAAAAATAAAGAGAATTTCCTAGGGCATAAGAGCTACTGTATCCAACTTTTAGAGGTTCACAATGCATATCAGCATATCAAAGAGTGAGAAGTTGTGCACATTTTCCAAATTTACTTGATACCACAGATACTGTTTTTCTGCATAATAACTATGAAATTAGATTATGGAATGGTCTTTAGAACTGGGCTGCCCAAAATGTGTTCTTCAGACCAGTGTCAGTCCACAGATGTTATTAGTCCCCAATAGCACAAGTGCAGAAATTGAGTGTTTAGAAAGTTGTACAGCAATTTGACAGTGCCACAGCATTTAAGCTTATGATTTAGTAAATGCAAAGGAATGAATCTAAAACTAATTAGAAAATTTTTAAAAATTTAAAAGAAAACAAACAAAACCTAGTCCTTCACCAGGCCTAGAAATACATTTTCAGGAAGACTTCCTTAGTGTAGGAAAAGAGCATCTTTTCTTCTCTTAGCACTCAGTCAACAGCAAATATTTATTGTGTATATACCAGACACAGTTTTAGGTAAAAAAGAAACCTCTGCCATCAGTGATATTAGATTCTAAGGGATATATTTATTCCTAAGCCCCTGTAACTTGAGGGGCTTTCCAATTGATGTGACTCAGAAGGACTGAAAGGCTCTCAAATTCTATCAAAGACATATTTCTCACCTAAGATCTTTTGAAACTCTTCTTGATATTTACAAGAAAGTCTTTCCCTCAATTTGTCATCAACATCAAGCTTGATAACGATTAACTATTGCTTATCCTGTATCTGGACAATATGAGCCTTACCTTCCCCTTTTCTGGTTTGATAAGGACTGTGTGGAAGCTAAAACATTTTCCGAGTCAGTGAGGGAGCAGGCAAAATGGAACACGGAAGAGGAACAGATCTCATGTAACAGAAGCGTTGCAAAATTCTTACTCTCTCCAAAGCAAAACAGCTCAATTTCTGTGTAAACTCAATTCCTTTGTGAATCCCTAGATCTCGTAGAATCAATAACGAGTAGTCTTTGAGAGGGTATTACCCAGGGCGTGACTGCAGGGAAGGGCTGGGGAAGCCCCTCTTCACACACCTTGCTCCCACTGAGAATCCAGTCACTTCCATGCTTTTTGGCATTTGTTCTCACTCCTTGCAAATCACTGTAAATGGAAAAAAGGATGAAAAATTCATTAATTGGTAAAAATTGAATTACGCAAATGTTGTTATGTAAGCACATATGTAATGTAATAATTCAAACTGGTTACACCATTCTAAAAATTGGTCTTTATCTAATATTAGGAATGTTCACATAAATGCACTGAAAAATCATGTCTGATGTTTTATATTCTAGACCATGCATACAAATGGATATATGATTAAGATTACACAAATTAGTCAGCCTTTATAGAGCATAACAAGGCCCAACTAGCATTCAAGACCCCCAAATTGGACTCAGATTACACTTCTAACAAGCCTGCTCTAAAAGTAGAATAGATTATTTTCCTAAATATAAAACAGACAAATATTCACAATTAAAATATGAAAAGTATAGACAATATTCCAGACAAAGGGGAAAAAGGATTTAAAAAATAATTTTACCTCCTGGAATGAACATTTTAAAAATACACCTTCCAGTATTTTTCTATGGAAACAGACACACACATATATATATATAT